TACTTTCAAGAATTTTAACCCTCTCCCACCCTATTGTGTGGCTATGTGCTAATGCATGCATTGCAATTGCTGAGCTTTTTTCTAAATTACTTATCTTCTCTGGGTCAACCATTCTTACCTTAGCTAAATTCTTATGTTCTGACAATCTGCCTACCCCTGACCTACTAGTTTGACTTATGTAGTTGACCTCACAGTCATTGCAGGGTATTTTGTAAATTATATTATTTTGTCTAATTGGGTCCACTGGGTCCTTTAACCTACAGAGCTTGTCCCTGAGTGAGTTTGTAGGTTTAAATGCCACCCTAATTCCTGCTTTATTGAGAATCCTACGTAGGGTTTCAGATGTCCCCTCTTTATATGGTATAACTGCAGATGACTTATATTGTCGCTTATTTATGTTATCATTACTAGTTTCACAATTATTTTTCGATTTTGCTTTTGGCCTTTTTCAATCTTCATAATGAATTTTAGAGGATAGTTATTTAACACCAACGCCTCTTCTATCTGTTTTATTCCATCATTTAGGTCTTTTTTGTGCTACTTAGAGCTACTGCTCGGTTTGTTAAACACTTAACTAAGCCTGCCTTAACAGTTAAAGGATGAGATGAATTAAGGTCTAAATGTCTATTAGAATGCGTTGGTTTTCTATAAACACTAGTGTGTAGTTCGCTTTCTTCTATTCGTTTTATTTAACAATCTAACATAGTTAATTCTTGTTGCTCATTTTTGGCTTCAAATGTGAATTTTATTCCCTCCACTAGTGAGTTTATATGTGTCAAGAAGCTGGAGAGAGATATGTTCCTTTTTAACACTGTGAGTGGAAGTGTCATCCAAATATCTCCACCATATTTTTGGAGTAGGATTAAATGTATTAAGGGCAATGTTTTCCCAGCTGTGCATAAATATATCCTCTACGATAGATGAAATTGGTGATCCCATCGCTACACCTTCTGTTTGTCTATATATTTTGTTTTGGAATTTAAAGACAGATGTGAGGCACAACTGAATTCCTAACGTGATTTTCTCAATGGGCAGCTTCGTCCTATAAGTGAGTTCAGGGTCTGCAGTTAATTCTTTTTTAACTGCTTCTAAGGCCATATTGATTGGTATGTTGGTATGAAGACTAGTTATACCAAAACTAACCATTGTTTCATCATTATCTAGTTGAATGTCATTTAGTTTATTTTTCATCTCATATGAATTAGTCAGCTGGCCTAGAGTTTGAACGATTTCTAATGAGGCATAATATTAGAGCTAAGTGTTTTGATAATTCATAAGTAGGATTATGATTATGAGCAATAAATTGTGCTCGAAACGTCATCAGTAAACATTACTGTAAAACACTGTGAAACTTTATCAAAACAAAATTTACCCATAATGAAATTACACTCTACCACAGTGCACAAGAAGGGGAAATTATCGAAAAGGATCATTTTTGCTCAATTTTCCTCCATATATATATTATATATTATGTATATATATATAACTTGCGGAATAACAATTTGAATATAACAGATTATTAAAGGCACTTTACAACACAATCTTTAAGGTGAGAGTTTAGAAACTTGACGAAAAATGTTATTCAACAAAATAAACTTTTTTTTAAAAATGGCCTCAGTGTTTTATTCAAACTGCCAAATGGCAGATAAATCAAACTGTGTGAGTTACTGTAATCGATATTTGAAAGAGTAAACAAAGAACCAAGACAAAGATTTAAATGCTGACAATAAATTCATGATATCATTTGACGTATCTTCTTTATTCACCAGTGTACCACTTAAGGAATCAGTAGACTTTGTATGCGAAGAACTTATAAGTGGAAGCATCGATATTGGCATTCCTATATCTTTTATTAGGGAGGTCTTGAAATGCTCAATGAATGTTCACTTTTTATTCAATAAGGAACTATAGAGACAAATCGATGGTGTGGCAATGGGGTTATTACCACTAGGATCCATTTTAGCCGACATTTCCTTTGGAAAATTAAGGAATGGGCCTTTGAAAGATGTAACTGATGAATTGAAACTCTACTCTCCGTATATGGATGATACATTTCGGATTATGAAAGATAAGGATGAAGCAAAGAACACCCTGGACTAATTTAACGATGTTCATCCTGAAATAAATTTTACCAATGAGAAAGAAAGTGACTTTAGTATTTCATTCCTAGACGTCTTTATGACTAGAAGAGAGGACGGTACAATAACAAGAATAAGTGTATACAGAAAACCTACATCAACTGACTGCCAGTATACTCATCTACTTAGCTTTGTACCTTTTAAATATAAATGCTATCTGACAGAGTGCTTGGTCCACAAAGCAAGATAAAAATGCTCTGATGAATGTCCTAATGAAGAGTTTAATATTAATAAACAGTTGCTGAGTGATAAAGATTACCCAGAAAAATTCATTGATAAGAATATGAATCAGAAGTCAACGCGGGCCAAAGTTTCGAACTTCAGTTCTTCGGTGATAACACGCCAGTGAGATATTAAAATAACGCTTAAGAAATACAGCGGTTAAATGAGCATTCAGTGTTGCTGAAATATGCTGTCTTTTCTATACCAACCCCCCATTTCGCTTTTGGCAGTTAAAGATTAATTACCTAGTTTCGCCTCTTCTTTCAATGTGCATCTATGAATTTGACTGCTCCTGTGAAGTCAGGTAGATTTGCATGTACCGTACAATTAAGCGTGTTTATCGTCAGACTTCCGAACACCACCACCCTGCATAATGGTTATGTAAGGGAGAAACAAAATCCATTCATAATTCCATACTGTCTCATCTTGTACATACAGAATACAAAATTAATGTTAACAAAGCGACTTTCAAAGTCATCCATCTACCGTATACCGACTAAGTAAGCTTCATTTCACCTCAAGACTTCGTCTATTACACATATTACTTAGGCTGGCTGTTGAAATCCACCTTAATTAAGACACCTAAATTATGAATTCAAAAGAAGTAGTTGGTTTTGAACCTTTTCCTTAGCGCATTGGCCATCAAGATTTCAATGATCCCCAATTTGTTATTGTATAGATTTCCTTAATTTTCTTTGATATTCTATTTGCTATTACATTTTTATGCTGCTTATAACTTATGCAAACTTCCTTCAACCGCGATAATTCCACTGTTATCTTAACAAATCGGTAATATTGAAAAAGCACACCAATATTGTTAATGTCGATTATTCTAGAATATTCTGTGTGTACAAATATACGTATGTATATAATGGTAGAGTACCCTAAGATTGGAAGAAAGGATACTTATTCAAACTACCAAAGAAAGGAGACCTAAGTCAATGCAAGAACTGGCGCGGAATTATGCTCCTGTCCATCCCAAGCAAAATACTAAGCCGCATCATCCTGGAGAGAATCAAACATACCCTAGATGAAAAACTTCGACCGGAACAGCCTGGATTCAGGAGAAACAAGTCATGCATTGATCAGATCGCCACATTACGGATCATCATTGAACAAAGCTTGGAGTGGCAGTCACCTCTCTATCTCAACTTCATCGACTTTGAAAAGGCCTTCAACAGACAGCGTCGATCGAGAGGTGATTTGGAAACTACTTCGCTACTACGGGGTGCCACCGACAAAAATACATCTCATCCAACAGCTATACGACAATGTTGCATGCCAAGTAATCCACAATGGGAAACTTACAGAACTCTTCGAAGTGAGGACAGGAGTAAGACAAGGCTGGCTGCCTTCTATCGCCAATGATTTTCTTGACTGCAGTAGACTGGATAATGCGACAAACAGTGGACAATGAGGAAACAGGCATAAAATGGACACACACAAAAAACTTGGAGGATCTGGACTTCGCTGATGATGACATATGTCTGATTTCCCACAAACTGGAAGATATGCAAGCGAAAAGCAACAAGTTGGCAGAAGAAGCATCAAAGATAGGACTTCAGGTGAACATAGAGAGAACAGAGGTGATGAAGACTCCCGGGCAACACCACCAACAGCAACAACAACAACTGACAACAATCAGCATAAATGGGAGGAACCTGAAAGAAACAACCTCTTTAACCTACCTGGGAAGCATCGTTTCAACTACAGGTGGAACTGACGAGGGTATCAAAGCAAGAATCGGAAAAGCAAGACAAGCTTTCACTGCTCTCAAGTCTGTGTGGAGGTCAACAGCACTCAGCATCAAAAATAAGATCCGGATTTTCAACTCCAATGTGAAGTCAGTGCTACTATACGGATCAGAGACTTGGCGCGTCATAAAGAGCATCTCAGACAAACAACAGACCTTCATTAGCAGTTGTCTTCGCTCAATACTCAAGATCAGATGGCCTGAAAGGATCAGCAACAAAGATCTCTATGAGCGAACCAACCAGGAACCGATTGTGAAACAAATAGGCAGGAAGAAATGGAGATGGATTGGCCATACTCTGAGAGAACAAACCATCAAGTGACATCACTAGACAAGTGGAACCGGAAAGGGAAGCGGCGAGTTGGTCGTCATTGCAAGGGTGACTTGGAGGAGGTCATGTGAAGAGGAGATGAAGGTGTGTGGGCAGACTTGGAGCCAGGTGAAGACTCTAGCAGAAAACAGAACGCAATGGAGACGCACGGCTGAAGCCCTATGTTCCTGTAGGAATTAAAGGATACAATAATAATAATATAATTGTAGAGCCGGAAGAGAAAATCATCGAAAAGAGTATTCTTTGCTCAAATTTCTTCCATATATATATAATTATATATATATATATATATAATTTGCAGAATAGCGATTTGAATATAACAGATTATTTAAGGCACTTTACAACACAATCTTTAAGGTGAGAGTTTATGAACTTGACGACAAAATAAAGTTTTAACAAAATGGCCTCAGAGTTTTTCAATCTCACAAATGACTGATAAATCGAACTGTGAGTTACTGTAATTGATTTTTGAAAGAGTGAAGAACCAAGACAAAGTGAGATCCACAGTAAGAAAAAATAACCGACCGAGTGTTGAGTACATAAAATAATCTGAGTGTTAAAAGTCTTCTTCATCTCTGTTCATAGAATAATCGAATGCATTGCTCTCATTACTTTCATTGATATGATTGACGTTGTTGTCATTATTATTACTGTTAGTACTACTGTTTATATGGTTATTCATGTGTATTTGACGTTTATTCAACACACGATTTAAGCCTTTATTATTATGACTAGGAAAATGCATATTCAAATCGGTTATTGGGGATTGTTTATGCGTATTGACACTGACTAAATTATTCGGTCCATTTCTTTTGTTCAACTGTGGAAGGGATTGATGTATTTTCTTCTATAAAAAAAGAGAAAAAAAAGGTGCAAAATAAAAGTAGTGGTGATGAAAACTGTCATGGAATATAATGATTTTGTGTTCTGAAATGTGATCTACTTTAGAAATAACAAAACAGACACCCTTACTCGTTGAATTCAGGATCTACTGATCTTATTAATACTGTTCCTTTAGGTTCCGAGTGGAAAACAGGCCTTCAAGAGCACATGTTCATTTCACGCGGTTCTGTTGCAGTCCACTTTAGACTAGCTCGGAGATTTCCCTTAGGCTCTCATCTTCTCCTCTAGGTCACTGCCGGACCCAAGTCAAATTCGTCCTTTCACGTTAGAATTCCGATCGACGGCTCGGCACATGATGTCATCCGACGGTCTTTTCAGCATGTATTCGATCCATCTCCACTTTGTTGGGTAGTAGATTCTTTATCGATTCGTCCTCATAGTTTCTTGTTGCTAATTTGATCTTCAGCATAGGGTCAGCAAAGGGGGCAGCTGTTGACAGAGGTCTGCAGTATAGCCTGTTGGAATTGCTTTTTGTGACGTGCATGGCAAGTTCCTCACCCACACACAGGAATTGACTGACCGACAGACTGACTGAATTAACATTGGTGTTGAACAGAACCCAAATTTTGTTTTTTATGCTTGAGGTGGAATCCAGCAGATTTCCACTTCGATTTCACAGTGACGAAGGTCTGTCTTTCCCTTTGGATACTTACCAGCTTTGACATTCTCATTCGTGTCATCTGTATTTGAAAGGATGCCGCACAGATAAATGAAGGAACTAACATCTTTCGGATTTCTTCCGTTAATAGAGAATGCTGCTTATTGTTGTTGTCGTAGGTTGGTTGGGTGGCTGGGTGGCTGCCTGGCTGGTTATCTTCATCACCTCCTTCTTCTCTTTGCCTAGCTGAGGTCGTGTCTTTGTTGCTCCTTCTGCCAACAAACTAATGCAACAAGTCAGAGATCACCAATCCCTAGAATTGAGTCAATTTGACCGAATGACATGAGAACGGCATTGTTTTTACAGTCCTTGTGTTCTGAGTGGAAACCAGAAATTCACACTTTCAGGTTTCAGTAGCTGTGATGTTGTTTTTTTGCTATAGATTTGGGTTGTTAGACCCAATCTCCACCATCCGTTTTCCTTTCCTGGCTTACTAGTAGTCAGACAAAGTTTAGGCATACATCGAACGGGTATCGAACCTTTACCTCGAGTGTAACTGGAGAGCATTTTACTATTGAACTACCGAATAGCCTGACTTACCTTTAATTCATTTCGAATAATCCTCACTCTGCATAACAAAAATATTACTGATTTTCTCTCTGTGAGGTAATAATTAACTCATTTTAGTAGAGTTGAGCTGAGGCTGTCTTCGGCAACTACAGATCAGGCCAATACCAATTCAAGTTACGAGATTCCCAGTGGGTCATCGGTGCTGAAGAGTCGTAGACTATGAAGAAACAGCTTTTCTGTATTCCATGGTTTACAGTCAGTTGCTTCTTTAGTGTGTGTGTGACATCCTCAGAGCATCGCCTCTTCTCTTTAAATATTTATCAGTGTAAGAAGTTGCATATCCGTCTAATTTAGAGTGCTTTCGAAAGACTTTAACGCCTTATATAATTTATCTTCGGTACAAATGTGATAGCGTCTATTCAGAGATTATTTTTTCTACTGGTTGAGAAAAAACTTCAAAAGTTTTTTATCTATGCATTCCACTATGGTTCTGTAATGAAATGATTCTGTCAGTCATTCATCCATTTGTCTTCAAATCTAAGAGGAATAACTTACCTTCTTATCCCAGATTAATTTTAAGATCGATTATTATTGTCTCAGAATAAATTTTGTTATTTTTTGACATCTACTCTCATGTCTCTGATCAGTTGTCATCAAACAGTAGGTATTACACTTTTTCGATTAAATAAGAAAGTCCACTTTCCATTGCAGCACTGGGGGACGCGAGTTAGAATCTCAGAAAGGATACGAGTTCCTTCAAGGCGGTTGCACATACACCTTGCTGACTGTCGAGCGCCAACCAGCACGAAAGCTAGGTCAGGTGAGGCTCCCTGCCGATTACCTGTAACCATCAAATATCAACAATTCACAGTGCATTGAGATGGTGGGGCATCTAGTGGCATGGAGGCAACATTACAAACGTGACTGATAGAATTCAGTCTACATCAAAGATAAGAGGACTAAACATGCACATTACACTGGTTAATGACTAGTGTCCAATCAAAAACAATATTTCTCAAGAGTCCCAAACTAGGATAGTACAGCTGTCTAGTACTTCCAGGTTCTCCAATGGTTCTCTAACCAATGTCAGTTCATGATGAAATCCTGAAACCAATCAAATCACTGCAAAAGCAACACTTGACTAGATTATTAATCTTATGCTCACTAGCTGCGACCACTTCAGTCAAGATTCTCTTTTTGACGACAAATTCATTCACTGAGCTGTACAGTCGCATTTACAAATAATTATTTTGAAAAAATTTTACAGTTAAATATACATCAGTCGCAAGCGGAACCTGATAATATCTCTTATGAATAGAATTCGTAAAATCTGCAGTCTCGAATCAGTAGGAGAAGAGATCACTCTTTCGAAGAAGACACTACTTGAGAATGGTTATCCATCACGCTTTATAGGTAAACACACAAAGCATAAAATCGACAAAGAACAACTCATCTCTGTGCCGAAGAAGATGCTATACATGAAAGTGGCGTTCAAAGACTGTCTTCTGACCGACTTGCTAAAGAGGAGAATATCTAGCACTCTGAAAAGAACAGTCTCTGCTGCTACATTACGATTGGTATTCCCATGCCGCCCATTGTTCTTCAGCGACTCTAAAGATAAACTATCTTATTTGACCACTTCTATATGGATCTACCAATATACTTGCTTACGTGTGGTGAGAGAGATTATATAGGTCGTTCGATGTGTGTTTTATCTAAGAGAGTCAAAGAACATTATCCCTCTTTGCTACGAAAAGGTAACAGTGGATCATAAACATACAGTCAACACCGGTCACTCAATATGCACGGAGAATTCATTCAAAGTCATCTACAAAATTAAAAGAAGCCCCCCGAAAACGGTAATCTTGTGTATAATGTGCATTGTCTAAACCTTAGTGATCCGGATAGAAAACTCTGATTTCTGTACACAGAAGAAACCTCTCCAACCCCTCCTTCTACCTTAAGTATAATTCCAAGCTCTACTTAATAGTTAATAAGACTTTTTTTGAGTTTTTGAATTTTGTATGACGTCTTAGTAATATCTTTTTCATAGCCAAACTCTTATTTACTCTTTTTACATATTACATAATCTATTTCGGACAATCTGTCTCCATACTCTTTCTTTAACATCCTATTTTCCTGGTTGTCCTTCACATTGCGTGACACTTGTCAGTATTTAGAAATCTGTACCGCCCCCCGCCACCTAGTTGAAATTTGAGTATTCATCACATTTTTGATGACGTAAATAATAACCCTAACTAATTTTTGTTTAATTTTTTGACAGTCCTAATGTACACATACAAACACACACAAAATAACTATATATATATATGAGATTGTACAGCTTAGTGAATGAATTCGCCGTCGAAAAGAGACTCTTCCCTGAACTTTTTGCTCTCACATATTTTCAATAGTTGGTTTGTAATGATTAGATGTTTCGAAGATTTGATCATGGAGAATTGATATCAGTTAGAGAACCATTGAAAACCGGCCACAGTGAGTGCTGGATAGCTGTTTCATCCTAGTCTTGGAATCATTGGCAGTACTCACACACCGCCAAGGTTCGAACCCAGGGCCTTCCGGTTACAAGGCAAGCTACCTCGTATACCATTCAGCCACTGGGACACAACTCCCCAACGGCCACAGCCCACGAATTCTAACTTCTACCAATTTTTGATGCATTTAACGCGACTGGCACCAACCAATGTCATCGATGGGAAATCCATCCTCGCACGTGACATTTGGATGGACCTCACTGTTCACGACTTCTTACTAGAAGTTCAGAAAACTCCGTCCTGTAGCAAGTCACTAGCGAGCATCGGATTAATTTTCAAAAGTATGGTTTGTAAGGATTAGATCTGCTTTTACGAGTTGATCATGGACTGTTACCAGTTAGAGAACCATTGAAAACCAGCCAGGGAGTACCGGACAGCTAGCTGTTTCGTCAGCCTAGTTCGGTAGTCATTGACACCCACTGAGGTTCGAAGTATCATGGCCTTCACTTTGAGGATCACAAAAGTATGATAATCCCCTGAATTCCATCGTCACAGGATGGTGGACACAACACATAAATTCACCTATCGACCAGTCACCATAGGCATACCGCTGTGTACTGTTTGAAATAAACTAATCGAATACAGATCAGATTGGCGACACTGTCAGAAATCTTTGAAATAAATGACAATACAAGTTAGGTTTATCAAAAAAGTGAAAACACCACTCAAAAATTCATAAGCAAAGTAAATAAATTCACCAAAAAATGTGAAAGATATGCTCAGAAACTACCCAGACAAATCAAGTAGATTATTGATCATTATCACAGCATAATAATTGGCCACAATAAGCTCAGAAGAACACACTACTTCATATTATTTAAACCTAACAGTACAGTTTGGATGAGGCAGTCAAACAGTTCTGAATCTACAATCATTGCTCTGCAGTCGAATGACTGAAAATTGGGACCCCAATGTAATCACGAATATTTTTCCTACCTACCTAACTACATGCAGTAATTTCAATATGATTATGACCACTAGTCAGTGGAAGCATCAACCAACAAAAGTTTTAACATGTAATATGAATCTAAAATCAAAACAGCCCAAGGTACCAACAGTTCCAAAACAGGCCTTATTTTTACAAATGCAGTCCCTTGGGGAAAACATCAGCGAGATACTAACACAGAGCCTTAGAAATGCGGTAAAAAGAGCATTCCCTGCTACCGAATCACGCTGTGTCTTCAAAACCATCCACCCACTCCTATTTTGCGTTCCGGAGTA